ATTTCAACATCACATTTGGCAACAGGAAGCCTTATAAAGTCTTGGTATAGCACTTAGATTCTCTCTTCAAGAAATATATTTTTATACTATCTATGTCTCTCCATTTTTGTTAAAATACCCTTTTCTGTTCTCCTTCTCTTCAAAGATTCTTTAAAAAAAATGAAGCTAAAAAAAAAAAGCATTAAAAAAATTAGAAATGTTCCTAAGCATCCCTGTTATTTAAAGGGGGAAATGCTACTATTAGTAGAATCTGTGCAATTTTGGCAACTGAGTTTTTAATGAAAGATTCTAATATGATGTTTGGGAAATGATTGTAATATACACATACTAGAGGAACTTAAAACACATCAAGTCAGCTGCTTTCTCTCTGATCCCAAGAATCCTTGCTCAAAGTGCTTTTCTTCCCAGTGCTCAGAATGGTTCATAAAATTACTTAGCACAGGTTTGTCAAATCAGACCTGTTAAGGTGTCTACCTCTAAATCTGCTGCTCTTCTCTCTTTCCATAAGTTCACATCAAAGATGACACCTACATGTGTCTTATTCGGTTGACAAATATATTTGAAATGTGACCGGTGCAGCCCCGGTCAACAGTGTCTGTCAGACCTGCTGCGGGAGAGCTAGAAGGAAGCATGGATTCACAGATAGGCCTTGCACTGCATTTAGTCACTAATGATTTAAGTAATTTAATATGCAAAAACAGCAGCCAATACAATACCTGCATATTATTTGGGCTCAAGGTATTTTGGAATATAACATTTTCATGTGTTTTTCCTCGCTACCTTTTGTCCCCTTGTCACTTGATTTTGTAAAGCTCACTGTACCTATACTTATAAAAATTCTCCCAAAGTGGAGAATTAAACTTTTATGTATAGGATAGTCTCTGTTTTAGTGATTAAAGTCAAAACCCTCCTGCCTTTTTTTTCCAGATTGTCAGTCCAGTTTTGTCACGTCATACTATGGGGTTTGGAGGTTGTCACTGCGAGATACATGTCCACCTTTAGACCAATGGTTAAATGCCAAAGCTAAGAAACTTTTTTTTTTAAACTACTTGTTTACATCAACTTTTTGAAGGGGAAGAAATATATTTTGTTGCTTTCTTCACAGAACATGGGGCAATCTAATCCTGTTTATGCCACTGACTTGTGGGAAATTTTGCTAATTACAGGGCCACATCCAGTACTCCCCAGATGGACGGGCATGATGCAACTGCAAATAGCCAAGTTCCAAAGACACAAAGAACGCTGTCATAGCCCGCATCCCTCTACTCACCCTTTATTTAAAAAATCATCTTGTTACTATCCACTTAATAGCTGGAGAGGGCATCTAGAGGCAGCCCTGGGCTTGCCAAAGATGCAGTTTTGTATGTGTGTGTATGAGCCTAAGTGGCGGGAGGGGAGGCAGAGGAGGGTGGGGGAGAGTAGGAGGGAGAGGGGGAGAGAGAGAGAGAGAGAGAGAGAGAGAGAGAGAGAGAGAGAGAGAGGCTGATTGTGAGTGTGTGTACCTCAGGGAACTCAGTGGGAAAGCCGAGCCCTTGTACTCAATTTCCCCTTCACAAGGGATAAACAGGCAATTACGCATCCTTTTATATTTGATGGCCAAGTGCTGAACTGGAAAGCACACTATTAGTTTGTGTCCCTTCAGGGCCAGGGCAATAAGTAGCCAGGAGAGCTGGGGCTGAAGCAGAGAGGGTGTTGTCTGCTGTTAGTGTGACAGTCTTGTCAGCAGCGTTCACATTACTGGAAGGTAATAAAGTGACAAGTAAGTTATTAGAAAGATATGAGGTGAAATTGAACCGAAGCTTCTCGCTGCTCAGCCCAGGCTTCTCCCTTTCCTCTTTTGTAATGGTCCATTATTTGTTACAAACTGAACCTTGTCTTGATACTCTATATAAAAAAGATTTTTTATTTTTTTTTGCAGTAAAGGTCAAATGAATTTACAACAACGCTTTAGAGAATAAAGATAGTTTTATGACAACTATAGTATGCTGCTTCAAAAATATATATAGCATTATAATGAACAATAATGCTGATCCAATTCAGTGTACTTGTAAAAATGCTTCATTTTTAACTCCGTTATTAGGCATTTGGATTTTTCAACAAATGCCAAAGACAGTACTGGTGTCCAGCTATTGCCGAATGACCGTAAACATCATTCTGTGCATTCTGAGAAGAATAGAGACAGGACCTGAGGATGGATGGGTGTCTGGGCAAGATGATAAATTACTCAGTTTTACAGCTGGATTTACATAACACTAATTGAAAATTACCATTTACGGTGAGCCGCTCTCCAATGATAGAATATATGGAAATGGGTCTGGGACAGATCAGATGTGGCCTTAATACTAACACAAGCGAGACTACAACATATGGTTTAGCTTTGAGGGAAGACATGAAAACAAAGAAGTTACTGGGATGCTTCATAGGAAGGTAAATGAGCTCACATTTTGATCAACTGAAAATTAGGCAAGTAGCTGGGGGGTGGTGGCAATGAGCAAAAGCAATGATGGAAAGGGCAGATCCATGCTGGCTACCACTCACCTACGCATCCCAGTTGGAGCTAGGCTTGACCACTGGCCTCTGCTACAACCTAGGTTGACCCATTGTATCCTTTTGTTTCCGAAGGGACTCCAGCATCAAATAAAAACAACCTGCCCAATTGCCTTGTTGGCTCTCCTGACCCTAAGGAACTTGGGCTGTTCCACCCAGCTGTCCTTGCATTCCTCCTTCCTCAGACTGGGGTTCCGTGACACACCTGGTCATGGGGAGCCATGCAGGGCACTGCACCAATATGACCTCACCCACGCTAGGCAGAATTGTACCAGGCTTTCCTACAGGGCAGGTACCGGTCCTCTCCTTAGTATGCCTTACTCACTGGGCCTTTGGAAAAGCTGTGATTCCCTCCAGTCTTTTTGGCACCTGCCTTTCATTGCCCTCCTGACTTGTTGAGACCCTTCCGATTAAAAAAAAAAACAAAGAATGAGAGGGAAAAGCAAAATCCTTTAATATAAATATCCCAAGTTTGGGGGGAATATGTTTTGTTTTGTTTTTAAATGAAATTTGTTAGTCATAATTTTAAAAAATAAGTTCTTTAAGAAAAGGAGCGTGTTGATAGAAAGAATGCAAGTTTTTTCTGGGTGATTTGTTTCTTTACGACAGCAGATGTAGAGCGTCTCATTACAGTTGAATTTTATTTACTCTGTTAGTCAATCTAATTCAACACTAACAAACCAAGTACAAGTTAGGACTGCTCAGGTCAACTGTTAGCAGTTAGCAGCACGTCCATCTCAATCTGGATACTGGCTTCTTTATGTTCTAATTGCCAGGGGCTCCCATTCTCATTTGCTTGGCACACATCTGGGGTGTGTACAGAGGATGGGGAACAAAAGGTCACATTTATTTTATTTGGTGAAAACCGAATGCATGGTTTCTCCTGAGTAAAATGAAGAGAAAGCCTGTGGAACAGCCCATTCCTGGTATAGTCAAAGCTTTTTTTTTTTTTTTTTAAAGAGCAATGTATACACTAATGGTGCTGTTAACCAGTTAGGTGCCTTTCTCCTCTTACTGAAAGGGCCTGGAAATTCATGACCAAAGGTATCATACCCTACAAAGACAGTGGTACCCTTGTGGTAGAAACGTTTTCAAAAACAGGGATTTATCATATTGAGAAGGAAAATATTAACACCTCTGAACCTTTAGAAGGCATCGGGCTGAACTGGGTGGCTGGACTAAGACCTGAAATGTGTTACACAGGGTTGAATTATTTCAATACGATTAATAGAACAAAGAGTGTCAAGCTTTTTATCACATTTTTTAAAAACCAAATTACTCATCCCTATCCCGTTTCCTGCCCTGTCATCCCCTCCACAGCATGCAGATAGTCCCTAAAGAGGAATAAGCTTTTCTGATATTTACACAAACATAGTTTAAAATGATCAGAACAGTAAGTTTCAACATTGCCTTCCGAACATGCACATTAATAATATTGCCTAATTGTATACCTGTGACAAAACTCTGCTTAAAATCAATCAAATGGGGGGGAGCCGCTTGGATGAAAACCAGTATCACTATTAATTTTCAGGCAGCATAGAATGGATACAGCTAGAGAGACACCGTTTCAGAATGGGAATCTCCTGTGAAAAAACAAACCAGTTGGAATGGGCAAAGATGAAGGACTCAGTGATTAAAATGCTGATCTCTTTATCCTTCCGGTTTGCAAATAAGCCCCGGGATCACCATATTATCTAGAGCTGTAGTTAAGTTAAAACACTGCACTCAGGCACACACCCAAAACAAACACTACTTCGGGACTAGGAGCATCCTACACTTCACGATCTACCTGCTATGTACCACTTCTATCCACTCCCCCTGCCCCTTGGAAGCAAATGGGCTTTGTATTGGAAAATGTTAATCACCCATTTAGAAGGCCACCATTACATTTGAGCATCTGAGGCACAAAAGTAGTAGCAAATAGGGGAGATACGTAAGAAGGGTGAGTTGTCCAGGATTCATTGCCATTTCTCTGACAAAACGCAGTTGAACACTTCCATGATTCTGAGCAAAGGAAATCCTACTTTGAGAACCTCAGTATTTCTAGACTTGTTCTAACTGGCTATTCACATTAGCCTGGTTGTGGCAAGTAACATATATTAGCTCTAAGCCTGGTTCGTTCGTTTGCTGATGTGACCTGCTGACAGCTATGCAATTCAGTCACTAGGGCTATCTGACCTTTTAGTTGACATTAAATTAAATGGACTAAACATTGATTCTGTACAAGATGAGTTCAAATATCTCAACCAAGAGTGTAACTTTTAAAAATCTGCTGGAATAAAAATGTGTTATTTTCATAAAACTGGGTATAATTCTGTCTGCACACACTCCAAAAGCTAGTGTGCCCATAATCTTTTGTTGGATACTAAAAACATTTTTTCCCCACCCCTGTGAACTGCGTAATTTGGTAATGGGGCAACAGCGCAACACAGAGAACGCTAAGAGGACCAAAATGTTTGCAAACAAACTTTCATTATTCTAGTTCAATCTTTCACAAACATACTGTACAGAGTCTTATATGGTATAAAACAAAAGAAAACATCTCCGTCTATTCAATTTAACACAACACCAAAATAAAGCAATTAAGACTTTGGGGAATTCGAAGGTACAAGAAAACAAAAATAGTTATTCCTAATTCCTCAGCTTTCTACCGTAAACATTTGTCATTTAAGAGACATAGTGTTTAATAAGGTTTCTTTTGTACTGCAAGTATTTTTGGTCTTTCCTCGTTGTAGAACAAATGAAGAATTAAATGAGCCCCATAGCATCCTCTGAAGGAGATGGAAAGATAAAGCTCCCAGACGCATCTAGCTTATCTTTAAGAATCTATTGTTTCAGAACTTTTCACAAATAAAAATACTGATTCCACAACTAATGATGCTTATTTTTGGAAACAATAAATACTGTGAGGTACAATAAATCCTATAGGAAATATAACAACAGAAACATATTAACAGTTTCCTTTGGCAAATTTAACTAACGGAAGTGAATGCTGATGTGAACATAGAAAAAATAATTACAAAACATGAAAAATGGAAATGAAATGAAAAGTTTAAACAAAGGGGGTATTCCTAACCTTTAGACTGATGAGAAATGTTTGAGGCCATTAAATGCACAAAAGAAATACATTCTCTTGAAATTATTTTGTACTGCTTGACAAACTATTCCTTGTTTATCTTTTTTCCCCCCTTCACTTAAAAAAAAAAAAAAAGACAACAAAACACAGTCTGCAATGCACACCCTAATGGTTTTGGCTACAGACTGATCTTGAGTAAATATCATCATTTAGTCAGTATGTTGTGGTAGCTGAGGCTGCCGATGCGGTTAACCAGCTCAGGCAACATGTGTAAACATCAGAAACAAAACAAAACAAAACAAAAAGGTTTGGAGAATCATCTCCCCCCCTTTTTCTCACTCTCAATTGCTTGGTTTTAGGCTTGCTTTCATTTCTCTCTGACAAATCGCGTAGGGAAACAAAACAGTGAGAGATCCTGTTTTAAACCCCCGTTCTTCTGGCTTTTGAGAAGGGAGTGTTACTCTATTCAAGTTCAGCACATGTTTTCAAAGCTCCCAAGTACGGCTGCTGTTAAACGTCTTTTGATTTTGTCTATCAAACGGGCCTGAATCATAGTACTACTGAAGAACTTGCAACAAATTAGGCAGCCGTACAACAGGCCAGCCTGGTTCAGACGTTCTCTTTCTGTGTAAAGGATAGGGTTAGGTCCTTGGAAGTGCGTGTTCAACTCTTACTGTATGCAGCTTTGTTCCATAGTGGATAATTTGGGCTTTTGTATCCTGAAATATTATCCTGCCTCTAAAGAATAAATGCCTTGGCTGTTTCACTCCACATAATTTTGTTTTCCTTTTATGTAACTTAACATATAAGCAAGAAGGATGCAATGTTGATTCTAATAACATTCGGCACTTGAAAGAATCACCAAGTGTTTTTTTTTAAAGCGGTTTTCTGGTGGCCGACAAATTGGCCTGTGGTTATGTTGAGTGACTAATTGTATTTTCTTTTCTGGAAACTTGTGCAAAGTTGGCAGTTTTGTGTTAACACTAATACTTTTGTTTGGCATTTGTGCCCTATACTGACCAGACCACTTTATACAAGTGAATTTTTTTTTTTGTTAAAAAAAAAAGACACTTATTTGAAGTATGGCAATAGTTTAAGGATAAAAAAGAAGCATGGATATTACACATCCCCTTGTAGTGTATGAAAAAAAGTGCATGACTGGATTTATGTACTAGTACAGGACATTTAAAAAAATCAGATCTGTGCTGTAAAGCATGCCAGCACCTTTATCACTATATCTAGCAGGTAGTAAAAACAAGACCATGTTTTTTGTTTTGTTTTTGTTTTTTTAAAAATGTGCATTAATGCTAACATAAATGAATAGAGCTAGCCAGCAAACTATATTTTTTTCCTGCATATCTAACAGCTGGATGTAACTGTAAAAATTAAACAAAAGAGTTAAACAACATCAATACAATTGTTTTACATCATTGGCCTCTCAAGGCTAAATATTTACAGGTGAATCTGCCATGCTGTAGTTGAAGATTCTCTCAAAACCTTCAAGTTCACAAAAGACAACTATTAAGAAGTTCCTTTTTTGTTTCTTTTTTCTCTCCCCCCCTTATATATTTTTTTTTTGCAGGCAACAGTCATGGGTACAACAAACTGTCTCTTTGGAGAGGACCAAGAATTATTATTCTCTCAAAATTTGGGCTACTTGCACGCTTTATATGTGTGTGTATGTGTGTGTGTGTGTGTGTCTTTCTTTAAAGGGTAGTTAGTTTTTATCCCCAAATGAAAGTTCCCACCCCTTTTCAAAAACTATAAAGGAAAAAAAATTCAAAAGCACTTAGTGTTTATCTTTTTATATCTAAAGAAAAGAAAATGTGTGTGTGTGCGTAGAGGCATACATGTGTGTACACACACACCCACACACCCAGTACACAAGCACACACTGACTATGGCAGTTCAAATATGTAGGCCATCTGGTGAGAGCTGGCATTTGTAGTATCCGTTCTGAGACTAATCTACTGAAGTGAAGGGAATGTTTTTGTGGAGATTAGGGTTCTGACTGTGCCGGTTTCGGCTTCGCACAGAGGAAAACATCATATTGCAACCGGGGACTTTGCACTTGTGCATTTCCCGCAAATGCACAGTTTTGTAGTGCACCCTCAGGGTCCCCTTGTTGCTGTACATTTTGTGGCAAATGTTGCACATAATCCCACCATTGCTCCCGGACAAGCTGTTGAACATCAGAGATCCCGAAACTTCAGCCCCGAGGCTGCCAGGGAGGGCAGGGGCCTCGGCCTTGTGTGCTGACTCCCCGCTGTCACTCGCCCCGTCGATGTCGTCGAGAAGAATCCCCTCGTCACTGCCAGCGTCGGATTCTCTGGAGGAGTGGATGCTGCTGCTGGACTGGAGGCTGGAGGTGGTGCTCAGATCGAGGACCATGTAGTCCTCCGCCATGCCTCTCCCGTAGCCGTTCAGGTGCGAGTCTTCAGTCCCCGCAGGGGAAGAGGCATCTTCCCTGACGTCGAGGCCCAGGGGGTGCTGGGCGCCATAGATCTTCATCAAAAATTCATCCCGGAGGTCCTTGCTAAGGGAGGGCTGCGATGAGTCCAGGCCCATGTCATCGAGTTCTTTGGTCAACAGTTTACGATGCAGATTTATGTTGGCACTGTGTCTAGGAAAACAAGAGGGAAGGGGGGAAGGGAGGTGTAGAAGGGGTGGGAAGGGGCGAGAAAAAGGAGAGCATTTTAAAATTGATTCAGCTTTCACTAGGCATCAAATAAGTACATTCATCGCTAATTACACCATTATAAAAGCAAACATTTCCCTACATCCTCAGGATCTGGGAATAAGTGGTGGTGGGAAGTGCAATAAGGGGAGCTTTACATTAACATAATTTTTATAAGAGAGTAAAACTCTTCAATGGTAGGATGAATGTGAACCCATGCACCTTTTTCTCAGTGATTGTTCTGTTAGCTTTGCTAGGTAGCAGCATCAGCTACAGACAATCTCATGGCAGAGATTTTAGAATATAAATTAAATAGGATAAAAGAATGCGAACTTTCTGCTTGTCTAAACTGAGTAATTTAAATTTACCTAAAAACAGAACAAAACCTTTTTTTCTACAGCCAACACTTTATTTAGAGGTATAAAAAGGACTCATTTTTAAAAAAAGGGAAATGGTCTAAATAGTTTAGGTTTAACTTAGAAAATAATGAAATCTTGCCCTTCACCTTTCTACACTTCAAGTTTTAGGCAGGAAAAAATTGAGCTGAATAGATTAGCAACTTGAAATAGGGTTATAGACTCTGTAACATAAACTATTTTTCCCAGAATGATTTAGGATTTCAGCTCAATCTAAGAGTAAAACACATTATTTTCAGAAGCTGCTACATTTTAGAGTTGAAAAGTTTTCATTAAGCAATTCAACTTTTAAAATTTAATTCTTCAAAACAAAACTTGAAAAACAGATACTGTTTTTAAAAAATAAAACCCACCCACCCTTTAAAAAATCACATTAAACAACAGAAAACCCAAAGGGACAAAACGAAAAAAATACCCACAATAAATACAAAAAAAAGAAAAAAATCAAGCACAATAATAACATACGGTCTCTCTATTGTAACAACGGGAATCCGTACTTCTTAGACAAGCAAAACTTTACTCCGCTCACTGAGTGCTTTGCTTGTGTAAAGAAAGATAGGATTTGTCCCAGAGCATCCATAGGGATGGCGTGATTTACAAAGCCTGATATGTTGTTATCTACCTGAAAACATTGCCTTTGTATTTACACCCCCCATTTATTTTTAAAGTGCCCTTGAGCATATACCTCTCTCCACCTGCAAAGGCTCATGTGTTTGACAAGTACCTAAATTGAAGGCTACCCTTCCAAAAAATAAACCAATAAACAAATTACAGATATATAAAAGCTTCTCAATAATGGCAGAAGCTCTATATCTTGGAGAAGTAATTGTGATAATAGAAATGACCTAGGATAGCCAGTATAAAGTTCAACAGACTTCCTGATTATAAATAAAACATATGGAAGACCCAGACAAGTCACTCCATTTGGTGACAAGTGTGGCTAATATTTTTTAGAGGTGGTTGAGAGGTATGTGCCTCAGAGACAAGAAAGGTGAGAAAGACTTCTCCACCTTTCCACACAAGACAATATATATAGCACTCTGGGTTTTAAGGGGAAGAGGGTCACTGCCCTCTCCACACTGCACTTAGGAAGGCTGAGCTTACCTTGTGGTAATAAGATCAGCTTTCTAATCTTTTGCTAAATCGATCACAAAAGAAAGCAAGAATGAGAGACAGAGAGAGAAAAAGAGAGAGAAAGAGAGAAAGAGAGAGAGAGAGAGAGAGAAAACAAATTCACATTCTAGACATCTGGTTTAAAAAAAACTTAAACAATAATATAGGGGTTTAAAATGTTCTGATCACAAAATCATTTTCTGTCATAAGCGATCATCTCATATGCTGTCTTGATGATTTTCAGATCAGCTGCATAATCCAAAAATCATAAATCAAATTAAGATAAAACAAATTCACAGCATCAGCATCATCCATAAATGAGTTCTACACAGATGCATGCAGTGTGCAGATACATGAATGATAAACAGAAGTTGTCCCCACGGTCCCTTGCTCTGACACGGTCTCCCCATTTCCTTGGTGTCAGATGGCAGATAACTCCAAGTGCAGGTTGCTAAGCAGAGTGCAGGAAATGCCTACTGCGACATATGGGCATGACACCACCAGAGTTATTACAAGAATGTGGAAACAGAGTTACACTATGTACTATTACTCTGCTGACAAAACAATCTGCCAGCCATAAGCAGCTCACAAAATTCTACCCGTTTATTATTTTTAACATGCTCCCCACTTTCTTAATTTCACAAGCACACATTTTGCGACTGACTGTAATCTATAACTCCGTGTTGCTTCTCACACATCTGCAGTTACCGCTTCCTAGATTCACTGCTGAGAACACAGCAGCCAGATACACGGCAGTCACAGAGACACACTGAATAAGGAAGAATAAATTAACATTGACAAAAGGACACGCTGATCACCCAGATGGACACATCTTTCCTAAAATGACTTGTGAAATTGCACATCTCCACCGATATGTTACCAGGAAGAGATGTTTCTCTTCATTTCTCACTTACAGCAATAGAAATCTGTAATCTAATTAGACTATGTACCAGCCCTCAATATCTGTCAACCAAACGATGTGCAGAAATGTGTAGACCAGCTCTGGCACTCTGTTCAACAGTGTCCCTTTTCCGCTGTCAGCAGTACTGTTGGCCTCTGCTAATATAATTACATTGACTTTTATTCAATTAAGTGCCATCCTTTGCTTTAAAAAAAAAAGCTACTTTATCAATTGATTCAGGTGTAATGCAATAATAAAGATGAACTCATGGCAGTGCATTAGCTCTGCTGTTCGTAACTTCAGTACATGGTTCATTCATGGTAGTCGATTTCCATTATGCAACCACAGTTCAAGAGAATTGATTCTTTTACATTCATTTCTTAATCTATTTCATTTTTGTTTAATAATCCTCCTAAATACCATATGCAAAACACTTGGAGTGAGGACGGGAAGGATGGGCTGTGGAAAGCCTGCTGCTTTACTCATGATAGTGAGCTTTTGAGATTTTCTAACAAACTCTCATAGTGTGGCTGGGGTAGTAAGAGGAAAAGGAAAAGAAGGAGGGAAAGGAGAAAGGCTTCAAATTCCCTAGGGTATGGATCCTGTCCCTCATGAGGTTAGGTTCAGCCTCCATAGAAGGGAAAAGAGCACTTGATTTTAACAAAGACAGTGTAAGATCAGCCAATCCATACCATTAACTGTCATAAAATACTATCGTCATGAAGAGATACAAAGACCTAGGGTTAATAGCAACTTACAAGTTTATTTGGATCAGAAAACGAAGAGGTAAACAGAAAGGGAGATGGAAGAGACACAGAAAGAAGTCATGCCCACTGCCCACACAGAGAGGATCCTAAAGTGGGAGGAAGACCACAGAGCTCTGGAAACAGGAGAAAGACTCCCTTGCAGAGGAAGCAATATGCAGTTGTATGTAATAAGTGGAAGAAGGAATCCATGAAGGAACCAATGTTGTGTTCTCTAGAAAGAGAGATGGTTTTTCTAGAAAACAGACTGTTTTGACTATCTCCAGAAAAGAGGGAAAAATAATCATTAACAAAAATCCAGATTGTATTAGAACTTACATTTTACAAGAACATAAACAGTATATAAAAGCTGTTTCTACTTGCTTCAATTAGGTAGACAATAGTGACATACAGGGGCAAATTCCTCTCACAGAAAAAAGTTACTGGGACAGAGCGAGAAGATGAGTTCACAAGCAGAAAGAGTAAGGACCTGGTGTTAATAGGGATCTGGTCTTAATGAGCATAGTAGTGCTTTTTAAGAGAGTAGTCTGAAACTCAGCCCCAAGATGGTCACTTTCAAGAATAACACAAACTAAATCTGATTCAACCTCTAGTCTCTTGCAGTAAAGTAGAATGCTTTGCACGTGGGACATACTTAAAAGTACATTTATTTGCTTTCAATCAATATTATGCATGAGTCTTAAGAAGCTTTTCCAAAAATACGCTGTAGAAAACAATGATCCCAAGATTGGAAGCATGGAGCAGAAGAATATTTAAGCAAATACTATGGTAATACAGCAGAGGGTAATTCTGACCCTATTAATAACCCAGTGAGGTGCAAGGCACTGCTATGTAATTAGGGCATGAAACAGTCCTATACTTTGGGCTATGCTTAGAATTACAATGTTTCCTCAGATCCTCTGCACTCTTTCCTACTCCTTCCATACTGTGAGTTTACCAAAAGCCTCCTGAAGACACTAAGATCACCCTTAAAAGCAAAAAGTAATGAGGTCTATGTACTGTAGGAGAGGTCATAACACCAAACTTATTTTTTGAAATGCTAAGTGGAAGTACTCTAACTGAACTAAAGTAAAGTATCAGCTTTTTTTTTCTGTTTCTTTAATGAAAACTTACATCAATTATACATCAGTTAAAAACAAACAATCAAGCAACCACAGAAGACACCAAATTCATCAAACACAGTCAAGTAAATGCAAGTGCCCTTTACACAGAGAAAGTATGTCCTGTCTTGGGCTTTTCTTTTTCCATATCTCTCTTTCCAAACTTGTCCAAATGCCCAGTTTGACTTAATGTAATGTTTAACCCATAAAAATTAAAATAAAAAACATAATAAAGTGTTTTTGAGATTTTAGCTTTGGGATACAGGGAAGGACTTTTTAAATAAATAAATAAATAAAAAGGAAGTCTCATGCCCAAATGAGAGAACCAGAATGTGTCAGTCAAAACTGACTAGTGAATCAAGCTACAGGCTAGATGAGAAGCCCAACATCTAACTCTTAATTCTTTAATTAGCTTTGAGCCATTCTAAACTTAGAGAAGTGGGACAAAATACCTGATAATTAATTACAATAGCTCCAATTACAATGTGAATTAAGGCTCCATTTTGAATTAGTTTTTGTCTTTATTTTCTTGCTTACCTCTGCCACTCAAAGCACACACACATCCCTCATATTGTATTGATCAGAATGATCTCAGTGATATTTACAATATTTACATAGCAGATACTATATATACAGAAATGTAAACCTGTTA